CCTGTTTTGGTCCAAATTAATGTCAAGGTCGCAAAACGTGATCGCCTTTTATGTCCAGTTGCTTTCTTTGGGCAAGTGAGTTGATGGTGGTTCTTCCGATAGCAGCCTTCTTAAACCACCTTGGTTTACAGGGGAGCCAAAGGGAAACTCCGATTTTCGGGCTTCCCTGTTTTGAGACAAGCCCACGAGCCGGGTGTGGGCTCGGTTAAGATCTCCAGCCTACTGTCCCTTTGGGAGGGAAATGGGACCAGCGCGAATCTCTCTACACGAGCTAGGAAGCAGTTCCATTTTGGAGGCAAAGACCAACCCAGACGGGGGGGAAGCCCAAGCTCGCCAAGGCCTTTGGGGGCTGAACCCTGCGCCTTTTTCTAGTTTGGGGGTTCAGTTTGGGGGTGGGGCAGCCGCAGCCCAAGGCAAGGGTTGGCGTTTTTGGGCACCAACACCAGCGACGACGCCGTCAGCGCGGCCTTCCACGCAGGAGATGCAACTTGGCCACCGGGACTTGGGAGCGCACATGTTGGGCTCAAATCCTAGCACCTTGCGGACAACCGGGACAAAGAACACAATAATTTTTCGAGAGGGGGATTGAAATTGAATGTTTGTTCGCCCTTTGAAAACCCACCTTTTGCTTCTTCACATGGAGGGTGTTCCATGTGTGGAACGAACATTTTTTTGGTTGACGGGGATGGGGCCTTTTGTCCCCTGATGCGTCCTTCTCGGCTTAGGTCGAAGAAAGGTGGAGAGAGGTCAACCTTTGAACCCGGCTGTTCACTGGCAAGTCTTTTGCTTTTGGCCCCTGCATCTCGAAGGGATGCATGTCGGGTGAAATACGGACATGCGTCCTTGCATGTGTCTTTCGCCAGGCAAACAAAGACACGGAGCTGGCGCAAGAGGCTGGGGAAGCGTGGCCAGCCTTCTGGGAGTTGCATTCTGGGCAATCTTGCCGGCGCATGGGCAACCTCGACGTACGCTGGCAAGGGTTTGTCGGGCCGCGGTTTCTCTTTGTCCCTTCAAAAGCATTGTTTCGATTCAAGCTTCAGCGTTGGCCTCCGATTGAGCTAATCACTGATTGTCACGAACGATGACCCCACAAGGAGTACGCATCCTTGATGAAGCAGTTCGACCACTGGTTCGGAGACTTGAAGGCGGGGAAATTGGGAAGCGAAGCGAGCGACCAACAACAGGCCTTGGGAGTCGTTTCTGTTCAGTTTTAAGCTGGCTCTGTGGGCTTATCTTTTGGCACGATGGTCTCTTGTCCCGAAGTTTTTAGTGTACCTTACTTCGTTCCCCATCTTGTTGAGGCCCTTGCTCCATCGCCTGTTTGCTTGGCACCCTTCAGCGCCTGGGTTCAGTTGGCTTGGTTTGTGGCTGCGGATCCCCAAATTTACCGCAGTTTCCGTCTACGCGTCTTCTTTCCTTCTTCCGATTTCGTCTCACCTGACATATTTATCATAGGGAGCACACCATAGCTCTGAAATCAGGTGGCTTGGATTGGATTGGGGGGCCAGCGCCACAGGCCCGGGCTGTTGTCCTGTTTTCCCTGCTTGTTTTGATGGGTTTTGGTGACTGGGCAACAAAGTAATCGTTTAGACATGTTCGGCAGCAAAGGGACGTTGATGGGAGTCTACCCCGGGCTGGAGCAAATGGAATGTTTGCGCAGTCAACAGGAGATGGCGAACAAAAGTGATGCGATCGCTTTTCAAATCCAAAGCGGACTACTTGAGTGATGTGATGTATTCTGGTTGCCGGAGTTGGGGCATGAGATATTCCTTCCATTGTCCCGGCTTACAGCCTACTTCCAGCCAATTGGCTTCGGCCGCGCGGCCTTTGTCGGGAGGTTGGTTCCATATTTTGGGAGGCTCGGTACCTTCCTGGGGTTGTTGCTTGTCAAGGGAAGCTGGAGAAAGCAACACGCATGGCTGAGGCAGCGCCAGCAACCGAGTGCACCTGGCATGACCGGGCAAGGGCTTTCGATGTCACGGTTAGCCTTTGAGACCAGGGCCTGGTTTGTTCCAGACTTGTATGGGTCGCAAAATAGGGGGCCCGTTTTGGGCGGAGATCCGCGGAATCCTACTACCCTCGTCTGGAATTTGGGCTAACTTGGCGGGAGTTTTGGACTGGATGACAAGGTTGAGGCAGATGGGCGCGAGCGGCCCCTTTGGAACCTTGGTTTTCGCGCTCAATTTGTTCTTCAGAAATCATGGGGTTTCCACTCACAAAGGGCGTGGCTTTTTGCTCGGAAGCTGCAGGTGCTTGTCACTGGCTGTGCTGTTTGGTTGGATGTGTTGGACGAGGGTTCAGTGCCAGTGAAGGGTCCAAGGGTCACGCCAGAGGGGCAGTGCTTTTTGAGTTGCAGAAGGGCAAGCTTGAGTCTTGAGAGAGTGGTTTGATGTGTGCTTGGCAGCTGGTGGCATAGATTTTGTTCATCGGGGGGGGGGGGGGAACACATATTCGGATGTCTACCTGTACTTTTAATCGGCGGAATTTCCGCCTGAAATGGCCAGACAGAAAGGGCAAACAGTACTGTTCATGTATGAGAAAGTTATGAGCTAAAGTGGTATTTGGAGGGACGGCCTAAGTTCAGGATACGCCCAAATCACTCAGGCCTGTAGAAGACATTTGTTTCGCATTTCCATGAAACCATTTGGACACTTTGTCCTTCGCAGCGACCTGAATTGGAATGAGTTCAAGCTGATTTGGGTGTGGGTCAAAATTAAACCACCAGGGGACCACAGATTTTGGTCCATGTTGTCACTCACCAGGGCAACCCATTTTGGGTACCCATTTTTGACCCACAGCCATTTGGGGTATGCCGTCACGGAAGGACTTGAACGTGACCGAGCCTGCGACGCACCACTGCAACGCAGACATGAGCGATTACTTGCAGCTTCCCACCATGGGCAAGGCGAGGGCGGGAGATGGGGGACGGTGCTCAGAAAGAGTTTTCGGGTTCTTCGGGGGGTCCCAAGGTCTTGCCGATTTTTTGGGTTGCACTAAGAACTGAAAACACCCTTCCAGATGTTGTTGAGAGGGAAACGAAAAGGCAAGCATCATTTGTAGGGTTCTTTAAAGGATCTCGTGACACTTGCTATCCTCTGCTCTGAGACTCACTTGTGAAATGGATATGGATGCTTTTGTGGTTACATTAGCCAGACATTGATAGGAGATACTTGAAGGTCCGCCGTCAGTCGACGTCTCGCTTTGAAGTCCCTCGATCCGCGCTTGCGCAGGACTTGCTGTTGGTATCTGGAAGCCACCTGTCTGCATGGATGAACATATGAGGCTGTGTTGTTTTTTGAGGGTACCCCTGTGTTGGTGGAAAGGGAAACCGAAAGTTGAAAAGGACATCGACCGGGTACCCTCCAAGGAGACATATCGAGCCTCCAAGTCTGGCACGTGTCAGATTTGGCTACGTCGCAGCGTCTGTTGGCGATGGTCAGCTGAGGTTTGCAACTTGAAACTGGGGTGGGTGCCTTCCACTTCCCAGTTTCACGTAGAGGAGCTGTGCTTGGGGCAACTTTGATGGTAAACCACAGGCCCATGGCTTCACTGGTCCATGGGAAGCCTGCGCCCGAAAAAAATGCCATGGCTTCGCTGGTCCACACAACCCATGCTTGAAGAAGCCTTTTGGAGGGTGTGCCGGGTGAGATCATCCGCCTGATCTTGCGGCCATGAAGATACGGAGCTCTTATTTGAGCTCGCGGGGTCGCTTCCGTTCAGGATGAGGGGTCCTGACAACACCCCACAAAGATTTGTTATATTGGGGGATCCTCCGAATCAGCTTGGAAACAGCAGCAAGTGATACATCATGTGAAAAACAAAGACACGATGAGTGTTTTGCTCGCCCACATGTACAATTACTGTGCATGGACGAAATCCATTTCGCACAACCTAAGAAACCCTGGAATGATTCGATTCCGGTGTAGCTACCAACACACGCCTTGACTGCTATTGGGTTGGATTGTAGACTTTAACTAACAAGTTAAACCACTAAACCCACCAACAAGTTAAACTTTTTGCAGTGTGAACAGCAACCAAGACGCTATCTCATTTCGTGCTGCGAACGGATTTCGTGTGACTCGCCGAGGCTCCTCCACCTGCGCACAGAGCGCAGGGCTCACAGGTGCAATGGCGGAGCAGATCCGGCTGATGCAGTCCAAGTAAGGGGCACCCCCAGTCCTGACCATAGGTGTCCGTTTTAGGTTAGTTTGGTTATTATTCCATTTACCAGGGCTATTTACTTTTTCAAAAGGCCACTTATGGTGACTTTTTGGTTTGTCTTTCTTGTTTTACAGCTCAGCCGCAGAGAGAGAGAGAGAGAGAGAGAGAGCGCCAATTGAAAGTCTTTTGGATATCAACGTTGAACATATCAAACATGGTTGGCATACAAACCGAAGGGAGTACAGTTAACACTACCAATCGCTGTTCCAAAATTGCCGCCCAAGGCAATGTGTTGGGCAGGTGCCTAGCTCAACAATGGCCAGAGGAACTCTGGCAGATGTACATAGTGCGCTCGGCTTAGCCGAAAAGAGCCGCAGTGAAAAGCCGGCTCCGGATGCTTGACCCAAGAGAGCCACAATCAATACCCGGGTACATGAAGGTTTGTAAGGGACAATCCCAGCCATAAATAGGTGCGGCCGCCGTTGTATTTCCTTACATGGTTCTGGGTCAACCATTTTAATACCAGGTTTTGATTGTGACTCTAAGAGAGGATCCAGAATCTTTTGGATTGAAGATCCAATGATTCCCTCATGAAGCGGTCTCTTTTTAAAACCAACAAGCCATACGGGCTGTGACCCTGTTCCGACTGTCTCCAAGAACGGTGCTGGTTTCTTTTCAACCGCTGAGCTTGCCGGCTTTCGAGTCTCTTGGTTTGTTGTGTTTTGAGGTTTGGGGGGGGGGGTTTGAGATTGCGCTGCTTGTTGAAGTTTTGCAGTTGTTCTGGCTGATCCTGTTCTGGGGCTGCAAAACCACGGAGACGGACGCTTGAGACGGCCCAGGCAGGGCTTCATCGAGGAGGTGCGAAGCGCGCGCGTTGGCGGTGATTTGAGTTGCTTGAGCAACTGCCGGTACTGGCACATCCCATCAAGAAGGCTGGTTGAAACAGATCTTTTGGCAAGGTTGCCATAGGCAATACTAGAATGTTGATACAAGGGTTTATGAGAAGCAACACTAGCTTGTCACGTGCACCACATTTCGCGTTCTTTCAACTGTCATGACATGTTCCTTGCACCTCCGGGGAATTTGGTTGTTTTCCAGTTTTGAAATCAACCCTGTAGTTGCCTCCTATCTGGCACCGGACCTGCATCTTTCTCTCTCTCTCTCTCTCTCTCTCTCTCTCTGTCTCTCGCCCTCTCTCTCTCTCTCTCTCTCCCTCCCTCCCTCCCTCCCCCAACCCCCTCCCTCCCCTCACCCTCCCTCCCTCCCTCCCTCCCTCCTCCTTCCCTCTTTCAAAGTTCCGAGTTTTTTTTGTGGTTTGTTTTTGTGTTTTGGACCCACCTCGTTTTTGTGTGGAACCCAAGGGTCCAAGCGCGCAGGGGACGTTGGTCTATGGCTGTCAGGCAGAGAGGCTGGGCCGAGAGGCGTACCAGGAGGAGGCGGAGGGTGCAAGTCGGGGTTGTGGGGGTGGGGGGGGTATTGGGGGGGGGGTGGGTGGGGGGGTGGGAGGGGGTGGGGGGGGGGGTGGGGGGGTGGGGTGGGGTGTTGGGGGTGGGGGGTGGGGGGTTGGGTAGTTGGGGGGGAACAGCAGAGCTTTGTCCTTTTGAGACTTTGATTCCCCAGAACGACTCCAGGTTTCTTTGGGCGCCCATTTTTTTCCCCCTGCCCTTTTGGGCCCTTTTCTTGCTGGTGCTCGGTAGGGAAGGAGGGAATGAACCAAGGGGTTCCCTGAAAGGAAACCACCGATTGGATGGTTTTTCTTGGGGTCATTCCATTTCTCATTCCCTGCATC